GGGGGGAGTACTGCATGCCGCCTCTGTTCCTTTCCAAGACTCCAGATCGAGACAAATAAGAGAATCGGAATTCTAGGAAATTCGCAAATCATAAACACGAGGGGGGTGATCAGCGATTCACCGCGTTCGGGAAGATGAAAAGGAAGCGGTTACACGATATTTTTTTTTATTTTTTTTTTGGGTCCGTAGCGGCCAACAAAGCCTTTCTTTGACAGCGCCGCGACCCCCTTGTGCTCCACATTAATAAAAGAGGATATAAACCATAACGGGATCACATTGACACGTTGTATCAAATTGTCCATCTCGGTGCTGACTCTTTGCGGCCACTTCCTGTCTACATGCCCTCCATTAATGGTTGCCACGGCATTTCTCAGGGTGGGTTTCCTGATGGTGACAACAGTGGTCCATGTTTGGGTAATGTGTGACGAAAAAAGGACGCTTGTAGTCTCCATCGGAAGCCCCATGTGATAGGGTGACAACCAGGCCCGGATTTATTCTCTCCGCTGCCCCAAGGCCAGATTCCTGAATGCGCCCCCCCTACAAGCCAACCTCCCACCCCCCCATGGAGAATGGCAGACCTGCAGGCGGCATACAAGTGATCTCGGCGACATTGCCGTGATCACTTGTACAAAACAAGCGGCGGCTTCCCCGCTGTACATTTAGCTCTGGTTGCCCAAAGCGGGGCTAAATGTTACATAGTATTTGGGGTCGAATAAAGACATACGTCCATCAAGTCCAACCCATATAGGTCCACGCATCATCTCATTCTTAATGTAGAAAACAACTACCCGCCCGGCGCCCGTAAAGGCATGTCCCGGGCATCGGGAGATAGGAATCCCACACCCCTGCCGCCCCTCTACTCCCTGCTGCCCCAAGGCCCGGGCCTCGGTTGGCCTTGTGGGAAAACGGCCTAGGTCAGCCAATGCATTTCACGGGCCAAACGGTCCCCCTTCATCAGGGCTTTAGCACAGAATGTATTGAGCTGGGAGCCTGAGTATCTCAATCACAGCCAGGAAGACACATAGTAATGGGTGCCTTAGGCTGTTACAAGGTTGGCTGGAGATGATAAGAGGATTATGCTGCCCTGTGCTCTATGTGATACAAGGATTGTGTGGTTGCAGTGCGTGTATGTTGATCTCCCTTTAGATACAATGTCACAGTCCAGGCCTACACAAACCATTGAGGTGGAACGCCAACAGTAACCAGCCATGCGAGTCTCCGATGTACGACCCTCATTGTGTTTGTTTCATTGCACAGGAGCTGCCTGACCTCCAGGGACCCGTACTGCGTGTGGTTGAAATCGGGGACCTGCGCCAACTTTCGGGGAGACCCAAGGTAATACAGCGCTATTAATAATACATCACGTGCCCATCCGTCCCCCACTCTCACTTAACGAATGACTGGGGCTCCTTTCCCATCTAACTATGAAGCAAGGGCAAAAATAAATGCTGAGATATGAATAATGGTTGAACTCCAGTTTCTGGTGGCGTTGCAAAAGGTTTCTATTGCTGCCTGTGTCCATTCTCCCTTACTTCCTGTCCTGGGGACTACACGGGAAATGAGAGGAAGTCTCCCCAAAGGGTTCTCAGACAGAAAAAGAAAGCAAGCGCTTCTAGCCAAGACAGGGGTTCCTCCAGAGCTTAGAAGGGGTTCTTTCCAATTGGTCTTCCGTTTGATGTTGCCTGCATAGTTCCTGGACCAATGGCACTTGGCCGAGCCAGCAGCATGACACTAATGCCCACCACAAGGCCCATAATGGATAGTTAGACTATGGATGGGCACCGTTGGGTTGAATCACCTGCAGGGTTACAGAGAACCCTAGGGTTCCAACAGAGGTTGGAAGGGGTCCCTTCCAATTGACCTTTCATTTGATGGTGCCTGCATAGTTCTTGGTCCAGTGCCACTTGGCAGAGCCAGCAGCATGACACTAATGCCCACCACAAGGCCCATAATGGATAGTTAGACTATGGATGGGCACCGTTGGGTTGAATCACCTGCAGGGTTACAGAGAACCCTAGGGTTCCAACAGAGGTTGGAAGGGGTCCCTTCCAATTAACCTCCCATTTGATGGTGCCTGCATAGTTCTTGGTCCAGTGCCACTTGGCAGAGCCAGCAGCATGACGCCAATGCCCTCAACAAGGCCCGTAATGGATAGTTCAACTATTGATCGGCACTATTGGGTTCAATCATCTGCAAGGTTACAGATAACCCTAGGGTTCCTCTAGAGGTTGGAAGGGGCTCCTTCCAATTGACCTCCCATTTGATGGTGCCTGCATAGTTCTTGGTCCAGTGCCACTTGGCAGAGCCAGCAGCATGACGCCAATGCCCTCAACAAGGCCCGTAATGGATAGTTCAACTATTGATCGGCACTATTGGGTTCAATCATCTGCAAGGTTACAGATAACCCTAGGGTTCCTCTAGAGGTTGGAAGGGGCTCCTTCCAATTGACCTCCCATTTGTTGGTGCCTGTATAATTCCTGGTCCAGTGGCACTTGGTAGAGCCAGCAGCATAACACCAATGCCCACCACAAGGCCCGTAACAGTTCAGTTATGGATGGGCAACCATTGGGTTGAATCACCAGCAAGCTAACGACCGATGGGCCTCAATAGTATGACTTGCATATCGGCAGCTTTGCTCTCTACCGCACTTCACAAGGCCATAACAGAGGTCACCTTCTCCCAGGATGGAGTCTCCAATTGTTTAATTCTATAGAGAAGCGATTGGCAGACATGACACCACCATTTACATTTTTTAATAGCCTGAGGAGGGGGACTGAGAATTCCTTAGGAAACAACTCACCATCAACGTCCCTGAGTCATGTAAGACGGGAACCGTGAAGAACTGGCTCGTCAGTCTTGGGTGGGGTTGGCCTTTAAGTGTCACTAGGTCCACCTAAATTACCCCCGGCTCATTATCATGCAGCTAATGAATGCCCCTTCCATCTGATCACTGCTACCATACTATGCAGCCCAATAATCAATCACTAATCAATCACTAATCCCTAAATGTCATTTTGTATGATTTCCAGGGCTGGATTTGAGCAAGAAGTTGAACAGACAAAGCACCGGGGGAACTGCCAAGGTGAGTGAGAAGATTGTTGAATGCTGTACTGCGTATACCTTCCGTAGTATTCATATAGGATGCATGCTCACCAATATAGAGGGCACAAATCAATGCAGCTCTGTAATCATTAAATGTATTATTTTAAATGCTGCATCGTAAGTACCTGAATCTGACAAGGTATCAGCCTCCTGCAACTTACCTGTACAGCAGAGCTTAGAATGGAAGAGGGAGAAAGAGCACAAGAAGCTGCGGTGCCCATGTGATAACAAGGCACACGCTGATAGGAGAGAGCAGAGTGACAGAGAGATGAGCTCATCAGTCTGCTGCTTCTCTTTTCAGGGTCCAGTCACAGGCTGGGGGAGGGGACCTGTAAGTGTTACTGAACTGCAGCAGATTAAAAGGCAGGCCTCCTGCCCCGCTGGACAGGGCTGTGCTCATAGGTGCCCTGAGGCCGGTTGTGACACCCCGCCGTGACGGCATTGCGCGTGCACATGATGCCATTGCGCATGTACGCGATGATGTCACACGCTTTCCTGGCCATCTCGGTGATGGACGCTGGCAGTGAGAGGAGGGGACTTTCATACCTTATCCCGCCGGGGTACCCTCCTCTCTCGTGCAACTGTCGGGCTCTAGGTCCATGACCGAGTGCCCGACTATTCAGGGAGGGGGGGGTGACACCAAAATGACTGTCAGTCATTTTGGTGTCATTCCCACAAATGGTGTCACCCGGGTGCGGGCCGCACCCCCCTAGTGACGCCACTGGCTGTGCTGTGTAGCAGAGCTGTAATTCAGGACTGGATGGACAGAAATGCAAATCCTTTGGCAGGTAAAGTGGGCCCATTAAATGTGTATCGTCTGCGTGCTTAGGAGATGCCTGGGGTGCAAGATGGTGGTAGTTTGCAACAGATCCACCTAATGTCCACGCACTGGCTCCCTACATTAAAGCTGAAGTCTTGTATTCAGTAAGGCAGCTAGTGTAAGTACCTCAATCTTTCTTCCTATTAACCCCTGCATGGCACCACTCGGGCTGAGGGAGGGGTGACTGCACCAGGCTGTTTTGCCGGGGGCCATGATGACAGGAGGTGAGAGCAGAGTTGTGCTACAGTAGATCCAGACATACTGTATAGGTGGCTGAAGCTATGTGCAACATTCTGGGCCTGCCCTCCTCACAGCTCCCAAGGCTCCCTATTAGCCGCTCATCACATTGAAGGACCAATAAGGAGGCTCCAGAGGAGCAGAGCCGTACATCTCTAAATCTTCTAATGGGGGAAAAACATAATGGTAACATCAATGGAGAGGGCTCATCATTGTCTGCAAAAGCCCCCATGTGACCCAACAACTTTGATACAGCCTGAGAACACTTAAAGGATTCCGCCCTCTTCATCATAAAACGTATGGAAAAGCGATTCATTTGCGCCCAGCGGGAGGCCCGCGTAAGCGCTTTGATTTATGCCGTGAAGATGCTTTTGAAGAGTTTTATGTCTTGTTGGCTTGCGCCTCCATCCC